ACTCCTGTAACTCCTGATATTAACAGCTTGTCCCCTTTGTACAAAGCTGGAAATCAGTCCAGATACCTGTAACTCCTGATATTAACAGCTTGTCCCCTTGTACAAAGCTGGAAATCAGTCCAGATACATCTTAACGTTTTGTAGACAACTCATAAATCAACTGTTATCATTTTTTAATTTAAATAGTCCTCGGCAGCCTATAAATATCAAGTGAAATCTTTCACATTTTTTCCATTTGTTTCTTTTAAAGAGAAATTCCATAAGAATTTTCTCTAAAAATATAGTATCCGCGCAAATGTGTCGAAGACACGTATTACCACGACCACGAGCCGAGCCGTGCCATGTCGAGCCTAGACGAGAAGAACGAACGACGGCTGCAGTGTTCTCTATCACTCAACGATGAAGTGGAGAATCCAAACCTTAAATACTCATTCCCAATAGTGTTTCCAATACTGTGTGAGATTGAGCATTACCAACATTGGAGGTGTTGCATAAAGAGGGAACTTTATAACCAACATCTAATGATGGCTTTATATAAAGCCAACCTTGTGTCAAAATACAGTTGCATCTGTAAACCAAAATTTTGACAATGCTATTGTTGAAGATATAAAGCCATATTTTAGGGGTTAAAATGTTATTTAACCTAACTATATGAGAGAGAGAAAGTTTAGGGCCTAAATCAAAGTACCCAACACAAAGTGGTTTTAGGTTTTTTTGGCCCAATACCCCATGCGGGTAAATTAATTGGTCCAATAGGGCAACCATTTTTTATTTTGAGGAATACGGTAAATGCTATAATGTGGTTTGAGGTGAGGAGTTTCGTTAGTTATTATTTTATAATAGAGCCCGATAAGTGGGCTCCACGTGAGGTATTAAATTATTACAATAAATGAATGATTTAAATTTTAAACATTTAAAAAATTAATCATTTATAGTTGTTGGTCAATGGGCAACTGTAACAGTCAATTGGAACTCCTCACCTCGAGGTGACGAGTTCTGCTGTATTTTTTAATGTTCTAGCCGTTGAGATTGAGGTTGTAAATAAGGGTTTAGGGTTTTGGTTTTCACCATCAACTGTTTGAAAAAATTAAGAAAAATTCATATTTTCTGTGAAAATCTCGAAAAATGGCTTTTTGAGAAGAAATGTTATGCCTCGATAATGTTCATTTTTCATCGATCGAACTTCTTCCGAAAACAGAACGAAGCATAATTTAGTGCAGGATAACATCAAGAGATCTGCATCTGCGAATGATGATATATCTTCAGGAATCCGGTCTATTTCCAGCCATATTTGTACGAGACTTTAAGGTGTACTCAGTGTTGATTCCGGCTCTGATTGAATGTTGGCAGACCGAGACACACACTTTCATTTCCTGATTAGTGAAGCGACTATTACTTTGGAAGATGTTTCTTACCAACTCGGTGTTCCTGTGAATGGTGTCCTCGTCATGAGGTAGAACAATTACGACCCTATGATGTTGGTCTACGAAGTTTTGGGAAAATTGCCACCATCCGAGGTCATCGACGGTTATCGAATACGGATGATGTGGTTAGAGTCCGAATTCCATGTGACGGGTGACTCTACTGAGGACGAGGTTATTTTTACGTCCCGAGCATATCTTTTCCAACTGATCATAGGGGTATTATTACCGGATAAATATGGTAATTTGGCGCACACTCAATATCTTCCAATATTAAGTAACTTCGCTGAGTGTCGTAATACCAGTTAGGGCTCGATGATTGTAGCCTTTTTGTATCGGAAGCTTTGCAAGGCTGCAATTATCGGGCAGGGTCAAAAAGACGGTGTAGCAGGCTGTCTAATGTTGCTACAAACCTGGGCTTGGTACATGTTTCTATTTTTTATGCCAATTACAATAGCCCCGGTTGAGTTTCCTCTTGCTAGAAGGTAATTTTTTAGCTTCGGTTTTTAACTATTTTTTTAATTCGATTAATGTAATCAAATTTTTATCTGTTTTAAATCTTTTTTTATTTTTGCAAATTTTAGATGGTGCCATAAAATAATCGAGATGAAGTTATCGGGTGTCACTTCAAAAAAATATACGACTGAGTATCGATATTGTCGGTTGATATGTGGTATATATTACTTCTTTTATTATTTTTTGAAATTTTTTAACTTTATATACACTAACTTTTATAATTAATACTTACAGTTTTCTTGGCTTCCTTATGCTAAAGACAAGATCTACAGGTTATTGCCATCGGGAATTCCTTTTATGGTGTGTCGCGATGCTTGTATTACATTTTGCGATTATTGAGTGGCACGCCACTGATAGAGTATTGCGACAATTTGCGTCTCATCAGCTGATTCCTACGCAAATCTTTAATATGGACGCGCTCCATAGAATTGATACACGTGGAAAACATACCGAAAATTGGTCGACAAATCATGCTTACTACATTGAGCAATGGAATCAACGTCACCTATCAGTCCCCCCACGTTATGAGATTACATCGATGTACCTATCTATGAAATTACGAAGCAAATGAGAACCCATATCTCACGACACCGGACCGGAACAGATGGGAGAATGAGAACAACACCATGCCAAGTTCCCCAAGTCCAAGAATAAATCATCATCATCGTCTTCATCTGCTTTAACATCTGCATCTGAAGATTACTATTATGTATATCATGCCAGTTTCTGTTTCTATGCTGCATATCATACTTCAGTCGAGACTCAACCGACTTGGGTTGGAGGTTCATGGGATACAATACAACACACTCAAGCATCTTCGATAAAAATTGTAGGTTAGGGTGAATGAGATCATATCATATATGGTTAACAATGTAGTAGCCAATTCGATTCAGTAACGACAATGATGACGTCAAATACCATAAGCCCATCACCATATTTCGAAGGTGGATCTCAAAGTGTATTGAGTACACCTCCTTTTGAACAACGAAACCAAGATGAAGACGACGATCAAGGCCGACGACCATGGCATACTCGACGAGCCCTACGCCATTATCATTCGACCACCCCTCGGCATAGTTGAAAACTTAGAAAATATAAATAAATTTTCTTTGTAAGCAATTTATTTATTTTTAATAAAATTATTAATTTACTTGGTAATTATTTTTTAATATAATTATTAATTTACTTAATTAATTTTTTTTAATTTTAATCAGGTGGTTCCAAGTGATCTTTTCCCAAGTGATCGTTGTTGTTGTCCGTTGACCAACGACTATATTTTTTGAATTCGAGGGAACTCGTCACCTCGAATTCGATTCGAGGTGATAAGTTCCATTAATTTTTTTAAATGTTTAAAATTTAAATTGTTTTTTAATATTTTTAAAAAAATATTTTTATAGAGGTGACGAGTCCCGTTTATTGCGATAATTTAATGCCCCACATGGAGCCTACTCATCGAGATCCATCGAGGTGACGAGTTCCAGCTATACTGTAACGTTGTCATATTTCCCAAACTAAAAAGTGGGTTACCCTATTAGGCCAATTAATTTACCCGCATGAGGTATTGGGTCTAGAAAACCTTGTTTTTATGCCATCCATTATCACATAACCTGATTGATAGCCCAATACCCTAAAACCTGATAGCAAAAGGTTACTTTGACGCTTCACTTGCAAAACATTCGCTCCTGGCCGTAAAAGGCAAAAGGGTTAAGATTTTCTAGGCGGGACATGTCAGGCCTTGGATGATATTTTATTATACAGGGAAAGATCAAGTTGAACTTAAACAGGCGCAAGAGACATTGTTAATATTTTTGTATTTTTATTTTTATGTTCAATTTAAATAATCTTTTATTAATTTGGGGCTATTATAAGATAATATTCATTCAGAACATTTTTAACCTATTGATAAAGCACACACACCATGCACAATCGCTCGAACCGAGGGTGTATGTCTGAAGCCACTTGATGAGTAATTTAAATAAATCTTTAGAAGTCTCAGATTCGAACAATTATATTGCAGGGTGTATGTGTTTATAATAGGTTAGAAAAAATCTGAACAAACGAGGGCTTATCACCCGAAACTAATCAGAAAAAATACCATATACTATAGGCTACAAGATCTGGGTGTTCAATGGTGAATAAGGGGTGAGGCATAGAAGCAGTAATGAGAGCCATTGTGAAAGGGAAGAGACGGAGAGAGTTGCATATGGAGCAAGTGATACAGCAGAGTTCATTTAAGTCAAGGGTCTGAACTTCACGTTTATGGCAGGCCTTCACGAATTTCTGGAGGGCATATCTTTTGCATTCTGAAGAATTTCTCATGACTTCTTTTATTATTACGACTCTAAATTCTCAGTAAGATTCTTATGTCCTTCCTTTTTCAATTTAATATTCTTTGATTAATACAGGGGCGGATGCTCTAAGCTCTCTAAGGGTCAAGTGTATCTCATTATTTAGGAAAAAAAAAGTAAAATTTAGTATAATATGTTAAATAAAAATGGAAGATTTTTTTTGCACTCCATTATTTTTAAGAAAAGAAAATTAAAATTTTGGACCCCATTTATAAATTTCTGAATTCGCCACTATTTGAATTTCACTTCTCAATTTAAAACTTTCACCAATAGATTAGTCGGAATAAAAATCAAAATAATACTTCGGGTTGGATGTATCCAAGCTATAAACATGTATGCTTATATCTCAAGTTCTCAAAGATTTAAATTAAGATGATGAAAATGTTTTCAATCATATAAGTAAATCATAAAGGATATTAATATCTGTTGACGTCATATTATGATCAAGTGGCTTCTTAACTAACATTTTTATTTGTTTTTTTTGAATTTTGACAATTATATGTTTGAAATTTTGTTTGGAACTTGTAGGTTTAAATGTTGTTATAAGTAGGATACGTATAATTGAGGAAGACTTACCAAATCATGTGAAACGTCCCTTTGCGTGGATAGACATGGATATCATGTGAAGTGTATCAGGTGTAACCTTCCTCCTACATTTAAAACCACATGCCTCCCCTCTCTTTCTTCACCAGCCTTTTATATTACTGCCCTAAAACCCACCACCCAAATCTCCTCCCCAAACAATATTTGTTTCTTTGCACGCACTTTCCTTAAACTTATCAAATTTGTCTGCTATCATAACAAGGAAACATGAAGAGCTTGTCTACCGGAGTTGTTGGACGTCTAATGCCTGTTGTTATCTTCTCCGTGTTTTGTCTACTCTCCATGCCACCTCATCATCATGGTAAGTGTTGTCTAGAGTAATTCTTGACCCGAATCATACTTTAAATTATATATATATATATATATATAAACATAAAAAACATATTAAATATTGTTTTTTTATTGAGGTAAACTCTTTTGACTCCCAACATCCCTGTGTTGGTTTTCCTTGTTTAAATCATTTTCATGCATTGTGTAGCAGAAGCAAGCATTCATGGGAAAGCTACTAGATTTGGGGACAAAACACAAATGAACCCTAAGGTTTGTTATACCCCAAGTGATATATGTATGTATGGATTTTTTTTCTGTCAAAATCAAGATATCCATCAGTGATGGGTGAATGGAATTGCAGGAAGGGGTAAAGGAGGAAGTGGGGATGGAGTTGTACCCGACAGGGTCGAGCTTGCCCGATTGTTCACACGCTTGTGGGTCATGCTTTCCATGCAAGAGGGTGATGATTAGCTTCAAGTGCTCCATGGCAGAGTCATGCCCTGTGGTTTACAGATGCATGTGTAAAGGCAAATACTACCACGTGCCTTCCAACTGACACTACATTTGCAGAAATGCATGCACTTTGTTTACTGGTGAAGAGATTAATGATTATTTTTTTCAGTCTGATTGAAACGCTTTTATTGTTCCAAGTGAAGATGAAATTCAGCTTGTAAATAGCAGAATTGAGTATTTTGGTTGTGGTACTTCATTTAATCACTAGTAGAACTGAGTTTTATTTTTGTAGCACTGAGGGTTTTTTTTTTTTTTGGGTCAAGTGTATTAGCTAATTGTATTGTAAGGCCTAAATTTCAAATAGCAGGACTAAAGAAATCCACATTAGCCGTTTTGAAGGCCTACCTAATTTCACAATATTATCCATTGCAGCCCTACCCAACCAAGGAAAATAAAATATTTATTTCTCAAGTAAAAAATATTAATTATGTCATAAATTCAATTCATTTGTAATGGTTAAATTCGATTGGATTTTTAAGAATTATAATTATTGTGTAGTATTTTATTTCATAAAACTTGAATAAATCAATTCAAATGCCATAAAAGTATTGGACCAGAGCAGACCACATTGTATTACCTAATTTAGAAATATTTTTTAATATTAAAATAATTTAAACCTAATTCAAAATTATAACAATAGGTTTGGCTCAAATAATTATATATTTTTAACTTATGAGAACAAAATTGAATCAAACCAACCTAATTTTACCAATGTGATAAATTTAATTCATTGAACTTTATTTATATATTAATATTGTAAACACCCGTTTTTGTCCGGGTTTTAATTGTTCATTATTATTATTATTATTATTATTATTATTATTTTCTTTTATTATTTTTTCAAGTTACAAATTGACCCAAACCAAATTACAAGGGCCCAACTATAACACTTTCAAGCCCAACAAACAGCCCAAAGTACAACACCCAAGCCCACATGCAGAAGCCCAAACTCGGCTAGGTTTTCTGGACTTTCTTTCTCTCTTCCCAATCCGCCTCCTAATCCCAGTCGTTGGATCTGGAACCATCCAACGGTACAGATCGCCCAAAAGCTTAGGGTTTTAACCCTAAATATCAACAGTCACCGCCAACAACAAAATCCAGTCGTTCAATGGCGCACGTGTGATGCACACTCCAACCTTCCGTTCTACCCGTTGTATTGAGCAGCCGTCGATGAACCTCACCACCACCGTCGTCAGCAACATAGGTCGAACAGTAGGAAAACACATCAAATCAGTCCAATATTAACCAAATCCTAAACAACCATTAAAAATTTGTCTAAATCCTGAAATATTCGGATTTCATCTACCAAAACCAATGAAAACCATGCTCGTACCGATAGGTCTAATGATTTCCACCCAAAGAATGGCCATAAATCAAACATGCAATAAGGAAATAAGGGGAATGAGGTTAAAAGAAAAAATGAAAAAATCAGAGAAGATGAGAGGGGTGTTCGAACAGAAAAAAAAAGGAAAAGAAAATGAGGTTTCGAACAGAGAGAATAGAAAAAAGATGGAACTAGTTGAAAAAAAAGGAGAACAAGAGAAGAAAGCTCACCTCTTTCTCGGCAAAATAGGCCCGTCATTGGTTCGCCAGAGTCGGAGAATCGTGTGGGTCACTAAGGGTAATCTCTTTACCTTGTGGGATTAGGTTTTGGACGGTGGGTAGGGCTTAAAGGAGTTTGCTTTCGGGTGAAGGTAGGTTAGCCGAGAGTAAGGTCTTAGAGGGAGGTATTTTGCCTCTACCCCAGCGTCGATCTACGGCGGTCGGGGCTGTATTTATTCTTTACGGCGATGGGAAGAAAGGGGAGAGGAGAGTTGAGAGTTTCTCTCTCTCTCTTGGGCTAAAAAGAAAAATGAAAAATGAGAGTGGGATAGACGGTTTTGGCTTAGGTTTACCTATATATACCGTGCACGAAACGACGTAGTTTTGAGGGGGTAAACAAACATTTTGGGCGTTTGTTTAATCTCATTTTTACCTTCATACTTTGTAACATTCCATTTTGGCTTATGTTTTGGTCACCGTGCGTTTGTTATTTATTTTTAGATAAACACTTATTGCGATTGTTAATTTCTAGTTTAATGTATTTTAGTCCCCATTTGTTTTTTATATGTGCATTGGTTAATTTCTGATTTTAATTGTTAATTTATGTTTCAGTTCATTTTGATCCCTTATGCCCTCTGAATTAAAATATATGTTTATTCATGATGTATGCTTATTTTTTAGTTTTCATTTTAATTAATGTATTATATTTTTAAATACAAAGTTGCATGATTTGTCGCATATATAAATATTATTATTTTTATTTTTTTGTGCGATTCAATATTTCTTTTAGTTATTTTATTTTAATTCTAACAGTTCTTTGTATATATAATCTGATTTATCACAATTTTAATAATATCTTTCCATTTTTTTACAATGAAAATAGTACTAAGTATTTTTATTACATAGTACTAAGTATTTTTATTACTATTATATATGTTAGACTTTGCCATATATATATATTTACTTAATATTTATCAACCTTGTATGTTTACATAATGTTCACCTTTATGTTTTTATCTTATTTGTTTTAATTTGATTTATGAAATGTTCTTTTGGCAATATTATGTGTATCTCTTATATTTGATATTAATATTTTTAGTGGTTTATCTAACATTTTCGAGAATATTGGTCGTAGAATGGGCATGAAAAGCATTGCTTTATAGAAGTGGTGTGATATAAAATGACATTCAAACAAAACGTGAACTCAAAATAAATCGAATATTTTTTATAAAAAATAATGTTAATTAATTTGTTTCTTTGAATAAATGTTAGTATATGTGCCTCTAGAATGGTAAATTATTTTAAATTATTAATATGCAATTTCTATTCAATTAGTGATATTAAATAGAGGAGGGAATATTCTTTTGTGGATAAGAAATAGAAGAGATAGTCTTCCCGCTGGAGGAGGTGTGAATTTTGATATTTCTTTTCAAACTGAAGGACTTTCCCTGATAAATAATTTGAAGTAAATTGATTAAATTTTAATAAATGAATCATATTCCAACTTTATATTCGATTTCCTAATTTTACTTCATCGACAATGTATAAACTACTAGGTACCAGAGTTTGGGCGCTGTGGGGGTGCTAATCCTTCCCCCACGTGCAATCGAATTTCGGGTCCTTAAAAAAATGAATTTTTGGTAAACGCATACCAATTTTTATCTTTTAGACGATTTTTTTGAATTGTTTAAAAGATATTTTTAGGTATTTGACCTACCTAACCTAAATGTCGATGTCGACTCCAATTCAAAACAATTCAAAATAGTTCAAAATCCCAATTTTGCCAATAAAGTCATAATTGTTTTTAAAAAAATGGTTACAATAAATATTATTATAATTTATATTATCAATATATTTTAAATTAATATTATAATATTAATTAATATATTTTATAAAAATATTTATAATACTTGCAATTAATTCAAATAAATGTGATCAACCATCATTTTGGTACAATGATTTAATATAGGGTTTGTTTTGTTTCAAATTGATTCGGGTAAAGTAATATATTTTCTTTTTATTTCATTATCAATTAGATGGTCACATGCGTTATTATTTTTTTTTGGAGGTGTCATGCTAAATCATATACAATTAGAGTTTAGCCGTTGAGACTAAAATGAATTTTTTTTGTAACGATAGTGACTCAATTTATAGTGCTCTAAAAATTAGATTACCCAGCTCTAAAATTTAAAACAATTAATAATATAAAGGCATAATAACAAAATTACCTCCCAACATTTGCATAAATGGTCATTTTGTCCTCTGTCCTTTTTTTTTTAGTATTTTAGCCTTCAATGTTTCATTTTAGAACAAAATGTCCATTGGTTGGATGAAAATTATTAGTTGAATAATTGTCAATGTTTCATACTAACATGGAAAGCCCAAAAGTGATGTCACTTCAGTAAAAAATTATTTTTAAAGTAAAGTATAATTATAATTAATTACATATACGCTTATAAAAATATATTTCAAAATAATTTAAAAATATTTTTTGATAACATGGGATCACACGTGGAACTGCGGCATCAATAGGAAGCACTGACCATTAGTCAACTAATGATTTTCAGCCACTCGATAGGCATTTTGCTCCAGAATAAAATGTTATGAGCTAAAATGCTACAAACAAAGGATAGGGGGCAAAGTAACCATTTGTGCAATTGTTTGGGTGATTTAGTTATTACGCCTAATATAAAATTATATTGTTAAAATCAATTTTTCATAATATTACAATCATTTTTTTAGTATACGAAATATTAATTATATTTGTAATTTATTATTTTAATAAGAATATTACATTACATATTATTAAACTAAGAAACATAAATGTGATATCATATGTTTTAAAATTTTAGATTTAACATTTATTATTGCTATAATTATTTTTAGTTCAAATCAAATTATTATTTTTATGTAAAAATTAAATTTCTTGGGAGTTACTTTTTTAAGAAAAGGCATAATACAACAAAATACACCTAACGTTTGACCATAATGTCAATTTGGCCCGTATTGTTTTTTTAACTTATTACCTCCAACGTTTCATTCTGGATTAAAAAATCTTCATTAGATGAAAATCGTTAGTTAACTCACGGTCAACGCCTTGAGATGATGTGACAAACTCATATGGCACTGACAAGTTAGTGCCACATATAAAAAAATGCTGACAGATTAGTGTCACATATAAAAAAAATGCTGACAAGTTAATATCACATATAAAAAATGCTGATAAGTTAGTGCCGCATATAAAAAATGCTGACAAGTTAGTGCCGCATATAAAAAATGCAATGCTGACGTGGAAAAACTGACATGTCATCAATTTTTTAAATTAAATTTATATATTTTTATTTAATATTTTATGTCCAATGGGGTGTTGACACTCATTGGTTTAAATTTAAACATCAAAATATGCTTCCATAGAGACTTGAACACAGGTTGTTATACGTGGAAGCCCAACACACAACCAATAAACCAAGTCTTGCATTTGACTTTTCTTTTTGGCAAGAAATAATTATTTAAGATGTTTAATCTGTCTCTTACCCATTTTATCAAACATCTTCTTCATCCCCTCTTCACACGGTGACAAAATGGCCATCTAATTTCCTAATGTTTTCTCAAGCAAATACCTTTACAAAATGTCAAATTAAATACAACCGACAAGGCATGATACGAGACTGAAAGGGAGAGTAAACAATGA